TTGAAATTGTGATAAATTGATGATAGGTACAATAGTTCTTTGGCCCTAAACACATGGTATCATTGATGATACCTTGGGTCCTAAACGGAAGTGTATTTTAAAATATTTTTTTTATTATTCTTAGGGCCTGCTGCTACTGAACTTCAGGAAATCGCAGATAATGTGAATTTAGATGACTCTGATTTGGATCTTTCTCTTTTTCCTGACAGTGATGATGATGGGGATGAATGGAATGAACCTAGAAATCTGGATGAGAATAAAATAATTATTAAAAGTGAGGAAGAAAGGAGTGACGACCACGCTGAAATCAGTGACATATCATACGACGATTCGGATGATGACATGTTCTTGGCAACCCGGCTTTTAAAAGAGAGTAAGACGGCAAATTCTATTTCTAAAAAAGACAGAAAAGAATGGAAGAAAAACAAATTTTACACCACAATTCGCCTACTATTAACCCTCTGTGCAAGATCCCTTAAATCCCGAAAATATTCCAAGACCTATTGACCACTTCAATAAATAAATCGATAACAAATTTTTTAAATATATGGCGTTGTACACAAATATAAGAAAGTAAAAAAAACTGAAAAATCTTTGGAGACTTTTGCAGAAGAATTAAAAACGTTTATTGCATGCTGCTTACATATTGGTATTTATAATTTACCACGAATCCGAATGTTTTGGCAAATGGATACCAGGGTACCAATAGTTTCAGACAACATGTGAAGAAATCGTTTTTTTTGCCATTCGAACATGACTCAAAATTGTTGACGATGATTCTGTAACCAAGGAGACTAAAGTAAATGATAGATTCTGGAAAGTAAGACTATTGTTGGATCAAATTTAAAGGGCTTATCTGAATAATGAAATAACTAAGAAAGTGTCAATCGATTAGCAAATGATTCCTTTTCATGGAAAAGTATTAATGAGACAGTTTGTGCAAGGAAAACTTAACCCTGTAAGATTGAAGAATTTTGTCATATGACTACTAGTTGATGTTATCCAACGCACTTTATAAATCATTTATCTATATCAAGAATAGCAGAGGTTACAAAATTGATCCTTGTGATACTCCGGTTGAAACTGGTAAAGGATTAGATTCTTAATTATTAAATGCAATCTGTGTTCTTCCTGTAATACATGATTTTAAAAGGTTATGAATGGTACCCCTTATTCCATAGTACTCCAATTTTATTAATAGTGTTTGAACATGTACCAGGAACACTAATGAAAAATAGAATACCAAAAACTGATGTGACATTTAAGACAGATAAAGATCTAAGAAAATCAGAAAGAGGCTCCCACGATATACTCGTTAACAAAGACAACAAAATAGCTGTTAAAAAATGGTTTAATTCCAAACCAATCTATATGGCTTCATCAGCATTTGGATCTGAACCCTTGGGATTGTGTAGGCACTGGTCAGTAAAAGATAAAAAATACATAGAAATAAATCAACAGCAGTGATTAAGCACTACAATGAAAGAATGGGTGGAGTAGATTTGCTGAATAGGATTATGTCAAAACACCCTATAAGTAGTAGAACAAATAAATGGACAATACGATGTATTCACGCCTTTATTGATTGTTGTACTGCAGCTAGTTGGCTCGAATACAAGAAAGATCGTTTAGCTGCAGAGACTCCCAAAAAATATATTTAAAATTACATGTCATTTAAAATGTCAAAAACCAAATGGATGTTAGTAAGCAAAACCCAACAACCACCACGGCAAATGATATTAGACAATGAAAGAATTAAACACGTGGATTCGTACATCTACTTGGGAACAACAGTTAACTCAAATTGGGATCAAGCGAAGGAAATAATAGGAAAAGGCAAGAGCATCGTTCACTAGCATGAAGCAAATTTTCACCTCTAAAAGCCTCACCCTACCTCTCAAAATTCGACTTCTGAAATGTTATGTATTCCCGGTTTTGTTATATGGAATGGAGGCGTGGACAATGACCGCAACATTGATGAAAAAGTAGAGGCCTTCGAAATGTGGGCTTACCAACGTATATTACGTATATCCTGGACTGAACACGTGACCAACGAAGAGGTTCTAAGCCGGATAGGTAAAAAAAAGTTGGAATACTTGGGTCAGGTTATGAGACATAATAAATATAGAGTACTACAGCTGATCGTTCAAGGGAAAATAGACAGGGGGTCCAGGGAGGAGAAGACACTCGTGGCTCCAAAACTTGCGGCAATGGTTCGGATTGTCATCTGCTGAACTATTCAGATCTGCCGTAAACAAAGTCAGAATGATCAAAAGACTGATATTTTTTTGTACACACTTATGACAAGTCGAAAGAAAATGCAAAAAAGTATTTTTGAAGTGTGTATATTTTAGGCAATTCCTAGCTGAGCGCTTTCGGCTTTACAAAGCCATCATCAGAGCTATGCTACAATAAAATGTTCTATAAGAATAGCTCTGATGATGGCTTTGTAAAGCCGAATTGCTCAGCTAGGAATTGCCTAAAATATACACACTTCAAAAATACTTTTTTGCATTTTCTTTCGAAAAGTCAAAATGGCCATGTTGATTGCCAACGTTCGGAACGGACAAGGCACATAAAGAAGATTTCATTTAAGTGTTCGCTTGCTAGGTCGCTCTTGTACTCCAAGAACAGAAGTGAATCCACATCCGACGAAAGTTACGTAGAAAATGAAAATGTAACCAGAAAAAAAGAAAGACTGCACCAATCCCTAATAAACGCTTACGTTCAAAGGAAGCTAAACACCTCTGAGAATTCGTTAATGAAAGCCAAAAATCAAGATCAAAATGCAGGTATCCTGGATGCCACAACCTGACGTTTGTCAAATGTGCCCGGTGCAAGGTTTTTTTATGTTTTAGTGTCAATAGAAATTTTCTTATTTAATTTCATCAATAAAAATTATAAGTGAATATGAATTTTTTTATTGTCAGTCCAGACCCAAAGTATAAAACAATTTTTTTTAAGATCGACGAATATTATATTCGTTGTTTGTAGTACTACCAGCTTTGTAGAAATATATTGTTTGTAATATAAAATTCTGAAAATATTTAATTTCTGTTTCTATTTGTTTATTATAAAATTCTTTGGGGAAGTGTAAAAATACCCTCAATTGCATAATTATACAATGAAAGAATATGCCAATATGGATATATAAAAAATACATCCTTCCTGGTTGGCAGATGCGAGTAAACAGCAAACTGAATCGACTAGTGTGCGGTGAATAATCGCTCGTGCAGCAGGGTTCGTATAAAACGAGTACGACGCATGAACTTAGACGCGTCTCTTCGATTGACCCATGTGCGGACGGCCTAAGTGCTTCGAGATCGGACAGTCACTGCCACAGCTTTGCCTAGGAGATTAGAATATGATCATGGTACCATAGTTTCACCTGACACCATACGTCGAAGATTAAGCAAACAAAAAGTATCATCTTATATACCTACTACAGACCCTTTACTGTATGTAGCTTATCGAGGACAACCCTTGGAGTTCTGTCGTGCTCATTCAGATTGGATTATAAAGATTGGAGAAACGTTTTGTTTACAGACGAATCTCGTTTTATAAGATTATTTATCTGATGGCTGCCAAAGATTGTGGAGAAGATCTGGAGGATACTATGTCTAACGTTGTTTATGTTAGGGCAGGTGGCCTTAATGGGGATAGGTACATTAAGAAATGTCTAGGAGAAGATAGGTTACCTTATATGCATTTTGTAGGTAAAGATTTTCTCCTAACGCAGAATATTGCTAGGCCGCATATAGCCAGGATAACAGTGCAATACTTAACACATGTTGATATTCAGTTACTAGTCTGGCCTTTTAAATTAAAACTCCAGACCTTAATTAGATAAAGTATTAGTGACACAACTAGTGAAAGGTCCTCCTCCTCTATCCTTTATCCTTCGTAAGGATGTGGTGACGTTATGGTATTTGACGAATATTTTCTATTCATTCTTACCTCTCCTTGGCGCGCTGTGCTGCCTCAGACAGAAAGTAACCGGCAGCGTACCTAATGTTTTCTGACAATAGGAGTGGTGATCTTCCTCGAGTTCTTTTACCATCTACCTTGCCTTCAACCAACAACCTCTCCATGCCTTCCATTCGTCTGGTAATGTGTCCAAAGTACCTCAATATATTTTGGTTGATGATTGTGGTAAGCCTAGTATTGATGTCGAGTTCTGTCAATATTGAGACATTTGTGCGATGTGCTGTCCAGGGTATGCGCATCATTCTACGATATACCATTTAAAAGGCTATTATACGTCGTGAGTCGGACTTTTTAATGGTCCAAGTTTCTGAAGCATAGGTAGAAATAGGAAAGATAAGCGCAGTTTCGTATTCCTGGTTACGTCCGTATCTTTCCAGATTTTAGTAAGTTTGACCGTTGCTTATCTGGGCATTGTAAGGCATCGACGTATCTCTTCTTCACATCCACCATTGTTTGTGATAACATAACCTAAGTAATTTGATCGATTATCATTACCTTGGTCTTCTGTTCATTAATTTTAAGTTTATATTTACGACTAATAGTATCTAGTCTGTTCATGATGTACTCAAGGTGTTTTGTTGATGATGCTACTACTAAAGTGTCGTCAGCATAGCGGAGATTGCTGATTTTTCTGATAGTTCTGACTGATAGTCCTCCTTGGCATTCGTCGAATACAACGCGCATGAGGTATATAAATCGGTCCACATTTTAGGTGTCGCTTTACCTGTTTCTCTATGACAGAATGAACTTCGTCTTTTTTGTTTTGTGTATAGCCGCAAATAAGAAATTTATGGTTATTTGCCTTAATTTTTAGTGTATTTATCGCAAAATTAAACATAACTATAAAAAATCTACTTTTATTTTGTCTGCAGTAGTTGTCACTGAAAACAGGGACCTCAAAGCAGTCACTGTCATGTTTTGTGCTCAAATCTTTCAAATAATCATAGACGCATGAAGCAATTTCATTGGCCTCTCTGTTTCCCTCACCTTAATGCCAAAAAAGGCACTTTGTATCACCAGAATTTTTCGGCAATTCCTTTATCTTCTGGTGAATTTTTGAAAGCTTCGCACAAATTGCACTGGACTTTTTTGGGTATAAAAAAAGAAATATTAAATTCATAACTAAAATTCTTGAAAACATTTGCAAAGTTCATAAATTTTTTGCCTTCTCCTGTTTGCTTCTGGACGTAGTCTCGGTGAATATCGGCTAAACTTTTTCCGCTGTAAATAAACTCCTCGTCGTTTTTGATCTTGCATAGTGGACTCTTAACCCTTGGAATGTCCTTGATAAAGTCCCTTACTGATTGCTTGATATGAGGATCTACTCGTTTTCGGTTAATATGTTTACCTCTTAAATCTAGTTTCAAGAAGCCATTTTGATTCAATTTTCCAAGCACGGTTCGAATAGGCCTGTCTGATATGCCAAGTGTATTCATGAAAAACGTCTTACAGATTCTATGCTTTTTCCCCAAGTGAAAAGAAGTTAAACGCATTGTTCAGTTTTCTAGGATTCTCCGTATTCATATACCTGACTTTTGGGGCAATAATCGACATTGATTTAGCAAGTAAGCTTTGTTGAGCTTCCAAATTGCCAAGTTCCCAATAATTATTGAATAAAATTTCACGCACCTCTGGTCCAATTTTTGTTCCACATTTAAAAGTACATTTCTCAGTACATGTTGGTCCCATTTTTCTTCCTTTCACTAATTTTCCAGTAGCCACTGATGTGTAGACTTTGCCTTTGTTCCGCAATTTTTTAGCAGTTTCTCTAGTTCTCTTAAATTTTCGCATTTACTTCGTGCGTTTTTTCTGCCGAATTTGGATCTTTTTCGTGATTGTCGTACCTGGAAGAGATCAACAAAGAATCTCCTTTAGACGCATGGGTAGGGTCGGCAACGGAATCATAACTACTGCAATCTTGAGAAGGATTCTCATCGCCCGTATACGTAAATTCAACATTTCGGAGGATAGTCAAATGGATGTTGGCATCAGGGACACCAGTCGTCTGAACAAGTTCCATTCCATGATTTTCCATAGTTGATTAGTCTCAAAATGTTCAATTCCATGTCTTTCTATACGAGTATCAGTCTCAGAATAAATTTGGGTGGATACGGTTTCAGGATTGATAGCCTCTCTTGTGCCTACAAAACAAAAAATGCCAGAGTTAAACTTAAACTGTACATCCGATGTTATGATTTCGAAAGATCTCTGATTATTAGTCCTTAGATATGCACTTACCACTTACGCCTTCTATGCACTAATGTAACCAGGGCCATCAAATTCAATTTCTGACGTTATAGAATGATCACCGTCCTTTGCTACTTCGTATTGCAAGGAATTGTCGCGAACTAGGCGCAGCATCAAGGCGGCTCTTGAATTGGTATTCATTGTGCTAAAGAAATAGGAAGGAAAATATTAATTATGTTTGTTAAATGTATTTATACATACTGCAGCCCATGTATTAAGGAATGTGATAATCCAATGTGTCAAAATGAAATTCTGACTCCGAACAATGAAGGGCCAACTCCATATTAAGCTATATACAGCTATTAAAAACTCAGTTTCAAGATTAAAAAAAAATATGCTACAAATTGGCTTTAAATCTCTTAAATTTACGACTTTTAAACGACTAATAATAATAAGTAATAACGTCTTATCCCAGCATAGATCAATTATAGCTATCCTACAGTAACGCCTTAGCACATAATGTAACAGTATTGCAAATTATCTACCGTCGGAAATCTATTTATAATCAAGTTCGCATTACAGCCATAACACAGGTTAGGGCAGTCAGCAACGTCGAGTGTGTCACACAAACCCACAATTCCAATTTGCATTACTGCCATATCACAGGTTAAGGCACTAGAGAAGTTTTACTTGAGTAATTTTTCTTGGTTAACAAATGCATGATTACATGTTAGGGCAATATTGAAAAATGAAATCTACTTACCGCACATCTACTCTCGACCACAGCGTAACGTAAACTGTCTTGTGGCGACCTTGCTGTCGCAGCGAGTGCCAAGAATCGGATACGACATAGGCGCGATATCTTGATTTTAAGATAACTAAATTATATAAAATTATTGCACAATAAGGAAAACACCTAAATGAATTCTTCATTTTTTTAGGGTTATGGCACTAACGAAGTCGGAGTTTTTTTTAATACTTTTTAGTTTATTAAACTTAGTGTCCAGATAATTTTGCGGGTAAGTGCGTATTTAGTGGCCGAAGATTTCTTTCATTTAATTTATTTGTCAACTCTGCCCAAGTATTTTCGATGGGATTAAAGTATCCAGAAAGGTCGCGGAAGAACATTAATAGTTTTTTCGAGACATCCTCAAACAATTCTAGTCATATGCACCGGGCAATTGTCATGTTGGAAGGAAAGGAAAAACTCTGAATTACTGATGGCAATATTTTGTTCTCAAGAGTATGTTTGTAATATAATACTGTAATCTTTCTTCTATATAAGAACAAACGCCCGGCCCTTCAGCACTTATTTATCCCTATACTTTGACCAATAATCCTTTACTATTTTTAAAATTATGAGTCTACCGTTCATCAAACCTATGATATCTCGTCTATAAACTCTTGTTCGACCTTTGCTATATGATTAAACACTAATAAACTCGGAATATGTAAAGTTAGACCAGAAGTTATCTTTATGGTTTATGAATTTAATTACAAAATACAATTGGTCTCCTAGTGTGATCCTCAATCAAAAAAGGTTTCCTTGCAACTGCAAAATTTATCGATTCACTTGCTCTAATCCTTCTACGTGCAATGCGAACGCTGCTCGTAAATGCTGTCTCTTCACTAGCTTTTCGAGCTGCGACAAAAGGAGCTTTTCTCAGATAATCTACTAACACCCAATCTAGTTGCTATATCCTTTTGAACAGACCTTCTGTCCTCTTGAACCACCCAAACGTGCAATAGAGTGAAAATAATCCCATCTTTGTTTAACTTTTCATATGCACATATGGCTAACGTTTAAATCTGCAGCAACTTATCTTAGTGGCCAACCTTCTTCGAGTTTGGCAATTACATTTGTTTTTTGCATGTCATTTAAATGTTTTCTAGCATTTTGGAAGCGCTTAATACGCATTTTTGTTTAATTTTTTTTAATACGCGCAAAATGTTTGACAAGCACTTTGACATTTAGTAAATCCTTACGACACTGAGATTTTGCATTATTAGAATGTAAAAATGAAGGTGTAAACTATTCAGTGACTCCAGCTGTACATACATAGGTACATAGAAAGTATGCCCCTGATTATGGCCCTATACTTCACTAAGCGAAGCAATTTTCTTTCGATAAAATATGAGCCAGCAGTTTTTGGCTTTCAGTATTATAAACACACAAAATCTAAAAATTATGACCTGATTATTTAAGGTGGTATCTAGCGTTTGAAGTTTAATTTTTTTGCGATTAGCAAAAGATATTTGTTATTTAGTTATAATTAATGAATTTTTGTAGTTAAGTAAGTTAAATAAAATTAGTTAAACAACGTATACTTCACTTAATTCCTGAACCCACAGAAAACGTCACAGTACGTACTATTATTACATAAGTTCAATATACTTATGAGTGTTATAGTTAGGTACCGATGATCGGTTATTAGAATATCCCGAGAATAGGTATATTTTTTCTTGGCTTGAAAGCTATTCCAATAAGTGGGTTCGATTGTAATTATTTACAGAGACTAATAACATCTAGATGTAGGATAATTTTTTTACATACATACATGAATAAAAGTAATGCTGAAATATATATACGTTACAATAGTTAAACCTTTAACTGTAGTTTGATTTATTTAGGAGATTTTTAACACTTTATTTATTCAACACAATATTTAACAGCGGTATTACAACGACGATATTTATATCTCGAATGCTCTTCTGCAACCGGGATATAAATATCCCCTTACTATTAATAATGTTGAAATGCTATTAGCGGCTTATCATATGGATTTAATTCATAACATAACGCAAGGCAAAATCGAGAAGTAAAAGAGATTATAATTTATTTTATTCTTACTTGTCTGATTCTAAACAGATTAACTGTTGAAAGCTGGTTATGAAATTCAATCGTATAGAACGACAAAAACGACAAAATATATAAATATACGTGTTATTTATTTTTTTTTCAATTATTTTAATATTCTTAGTTCGATAAAAACTTACCAAGTATCACATTGTAATAAAAAGATACATAAAATGACACCAAAACAGCACAAAATCCAACACCTAAAAAGTAAAAAATTCAGATTTCTACGACAATTAAACAAAATCAAATTCATTTTAGATGATATAAATCTGATTTTAGACAAAACATGTTTTTACCAGTTTTTATAAGATAATGGTGTTGAATATTAAACGTAATCTACCTTTAAATAAAGGACATATTCGCCATAAACTGACAGGTCCTTGCCTATAAAACTGACCAAGTATGAGTTCCATATAAAACAATGGAACGGCTCCAAACACTAACATTAACGAATATGGTATTAAGAATGCACCTGCAACAAAGAAAACATATTTAAGAATTATGAATTATTTATTAATTATTAATCAACGTAAATAATTATACAAAAGTAAAGTGGAAAATATAATTTATATGTGGTAATAAAATTTATTATAAAGTATATTTCACGAATTTGCGACGGTGTTAAATTTTTGCTAGACACTCGACCGATAATGGTTCAGACTACTGTACAGCATAAGAAGTACGAAATTAAATTGCTTCAGTAATAAAAATTGCTACAGTTTATGAAACAATTAAACAATCTAAATTGAGGTAAAAAACCTTTTATAATCTTTTTTATAGTATTAGTTATATAAGTTATTTAGAATAAATTCTTTTCATATAACTCATGTGCACTGTTTGTTACAATAGTAAGATTGTACGGTTTGTTACAACCAGATTATTTATTAAATAGAATTTAGTGTGGTTGTAATCAAAGAGCTCTGAGTGATTAATATAATATATAGATATTTATTGAATTTCTCTTCGCCTTTACTTGGGTTTTTGACCCTTCCGAAAAACTGATACCTTACTTTAGCAATACTTCCAAACCGGTTGCAAATTAATGGCACCCTAATAAGTTTGTCATAGTAGTACTTGTGATTGGAAAGAGTTTTTTTGTGTATTGCTCCGTAGACACGCTCTTCCACTCTGAGTTCCACTTCCACCAATACGCGCTAGGGAAGACGTACAACCGTATAAAACAAGAGCCGCTGCACTAAAGAATCAGGTAAGAAGATACGGATACAGTGAGACCATCACCAGACTAGTCACTTCGTACTTGGGCAACCAGAACTGTAGAGTTCGAACAAAACAAATCCTGTCTGAACCGAGAACTCCGAAGGCTGAAGTGTAATACGGAGCGGTCTTGTCACCCTTAATGTACACAATATACACCACAGACTTTCCAAA